CTGGGGAGAAAAGGGCTCTACCTATTTGCTGTTGATCTCCCCTGATGAGTTTGTAGGCAGCCACCAGGTCCCCCCTCAGCCATCTCTTGCTGAGGCTGAACAGGTTCAGGTCCCTCAGTCTCTCCTCATAGGACCTGTCCTGTTTCCCTCTCACCAAATGGGTGGCCCTCCTCTGAACTCTCCCCAGGCTGGCCACATCCTTTTTAAAGTGTGGCACCCAGTACTGGACACAGTACTCCAACTGTGGCCTGACCAAAGTCGCATAGAGGGGGAGTATCACCTCTCTGGACCGGCTTGAGATGCATCTTTGGATGCATGACAAGATATGGCTGGCCCTGCTGGCTGCAGTCTGGCATTGCCAGCTCATGTTCATCTTGGAGTCAATTGTAAAATGCTTAATAAAAATAACTATCTTCTCCTACATTGTTCAGCCAGGCATTTTGAGGACAGCTTTGCAAATCTCCATATCATCCCCCCCACATCAATAAACTAAGATCATATTCATAGTGGATGGAGGCAGTTCCCCACAGAGATACCCTGACATGGTGGTAAGTTGTTTTCAGCAAAAAATCTCTATTCTGGCACCTGGTAGAAGGGGTACCCGATTACCCATTTATCTCATCACCCCAATACTTTCCCCTTTTTTTTAAACTGATTTTTTTAAAATGCAGCACAAAACACTCATAAATATATCTATCTATCTCAACCATACATGTCAACCCAAGCTATGTGCATGCCCACCACAATACTTTCCGGTCTGATGTGGACATCTTTTTTCTATATGCTCCCCACCAATCACTTTTGTTTGAGCTGTCTATATAGTGTTGCAAAGGAAGTTTCCCTTGAGCTACTATTCTGGGAACCAGGAACTCCCAGATATATTGATACACTGATCTAGAATCAGTGTCACTAATCAGAATGTCCTGATACCTGGAGCTAAGTGACAGCAACTCCAGCTTACCAGCGAGGAGGTTTCTCTGCATACAGCACTGAGGTGGGATGAATGTGCAGTTCATGGTCATCACGGATGGTCCTTGAAGACAGAATAATGTTTCAGACTTAGCTATCACAAATGTCAACTTAACACTTGCATATTAGCGTTCTTCCATCCCCAATAAGAATGCTAATAAATTTAAGCAATGAAAGAGCTAGAACAAGTTAATGAAGTCAGACTTAATGCAACAGCTGTTCAGATGGAGACTGCTTCAATTCTGGCCCAAGCCACAAATGAAAGAACTGGGAGTTTACAATCTTATATTAAATGGATTTTTGTTCCTATCAGAAAAACAAAGGCCTTAAAGGCTTTAAGGTGAGCTGAAGATGTCATGGCTGTGCACACTGGTCCAAGCTCATTAGTAATTACTGCTAATAAGCCCTTATCAAGATTGCTAACGGTAAGTATTCAGTCAACAAAAGAAGAGATAAACAAGAAACATTTAGAAACTGTTACAAGCCTTCTAAGATTGTTTAACAAATGGACCAAGAGTTCTCTCAGGAGTCGCATGTGTTTCAAGAAGTACCTGTTTGTTGTCTATGCATATTTATCATCATTTCAAAACAGCATGTTAAAAAATAAGTTAATTCCAAAGAAATAATGAACCTATTTACCTATAAGCTCCTGTGGAGTGGAATTTGGCTGCATTAGCAAAGAATCCAGAAACTATACATCTCAAAACGGGATCTGGGTCACCTAAAGAAGAGAATCAGTAAGTCTCTCTCTAAAGTGTGTCTGATAAACTGAGATACTGCCATGAGAAATAACAGCCCACACAGCACTCTTTCATTCAAAGTGACTTCCAGATCATGGATGAACTCTGCTTTGATAGGAAAGACTGTTTAGCGCCTTAAGAGAAGAGACTGGTATCTTCTCCCCAGCTCAGATTTCACAGTATATCAGATCACTGAGTAAAACCACAGAGGTGTCCTAGAGATAATACAATTGTATACACAGCGTTGCAGGATTTTGCAGCCCTGGGCTGGGCCGTCTGCTCCAGAGAGCAGGGCCAGTCCTGCCCCTCTGCTCCCTAGCTGGAGCAGTGAGGGCTAGCTCACTGTGTCCCCCCATCCCCACCTCAGGAAACCCTAGCCCCGGCCCCAACCCCAGGGTCTGGGACCAGGGAGGGGGGTTAAACTTCTCTTCCCCCAAGTACAAAGCACCCTGACCTGCTAAACTTACTGCTGGCTGCAACTGTGGACTACAAATCCCAGAGGCACCTGGAAGCAGGAAGAGGAAGTGATGAGCAACCCTGCAGAGTCCTGCTACTGTGTCATGAGCAACCCTGCAGAGTCCTGCTACTGTAATTGCGGACTGCAAATCCCAGAGACCTCAGAAGCAGCAGAAAGAGGAAGTGAACACACAGCCCATCCTGGCTGTGTGCCAGAGTCATGCTCTAGTGCCCCCGGCTTCTGGCTTGAGCCACTGCAGGCATGCGGCTGCATTTCCTGAATCAAAAGTGAATGTCTGTTCACTTTCTTACTGGTTCAATCTTTGCAGCTTAGACTAACCTGCAAACACCGAATCAATTCAGCCTCGGGCTTTTTAACTGTCTGTACTTAACCCTAATGATAAAAATAGACTTAAGTGCTGGTGTTGAACAAACAATTGTTAAATTCCAGCATTGTTACACATATGTTTAAGTCACTAAGACAAAGTATTTATTGACGTACAATAAGATCAGAAAATAGATCAACCATCTGGAGACTCACTCCACACTAGTCGCAAGGCAAATCTATGGGTAAGAAATGAATAAAGCCTCACTGCATTGCTCCTACCTTCACTGGACTTCTTCGGTACTTTAAATTTGACAAGAAGCTTTTTCAGCTGCTCTCTCACAATTGTGGCTCTGACAAGCCCTTTGTAGTTTAGAAAGTGCTCCTGACACCACTGAGAACTCTTGCTGTGCTGTATAGTAACAATACAAGAACAATTTAAAAAATACTACAAAAGGCTTCCATACTCAACAGAGCAATCTAGTTGTTTTCCAAGTAGTGTTTTCTTGGTATTTACCAAATTATGGGCAAACAATGTAACTATGACCTGCAAGACTGCACAGCATACTTTAATTAGCTTGCAAATGACTTCCAGTTCCATAAACACCTATTTTCTACTCCAGGCTTGAGTCATTGCTTCCAGGATAAGAAAGGACAATATCCAAGTGCTTTATCTCCATGTGGACTAGCTTGGGTCAGTATTTTTCTACCCCAAAACATAAGATGACACTTCTGTACTTTATTTTTAAGTGTTTGTCTAGATACAGAACTATTACAAAAAAGCTATTTCTGAAGATCTCCATGTTGTCATACATTTATTCCAGGTATAACAGTGTCCATAGAGATTATTATTCTGAAATAGGTACTGCACTTTAAATTTATACTTTACCTTTTAAAGCATATAAAATCATAACAGTCACAAGTATAATCCTTCGAAGAGTCTTCTAAAACCTGATCTACCCAGTGCTTTTGTATTTGTATACAACCACCTCATTTGGGGTGTGACTGAAGGGGGAGTTATTTTTTAAACCTGAAACATTTCTAACACTCTAACTCCTCATGCAGATGCAGTTATATCCATATAAAAGTTACCATGTATTATTACAGCTTATTCCCCTTCCAATACAGCACAACTTAAGTCATAAAATTTATCTGTGTAGACAAGGCCTAAGATTTCAACTAAACCTCATTGCTCACCAAGTACCCTACATCACTAACAAGATATGAAGATTAACAAGTTGGGTTTTCAAAAGGAGCCTAAGGGAGTCAGATACCTAACTTCCAATGAAACTCAAATCTGTCAGAAAATAAAGGAGAATAAGAATTTCAATGTATTTCAGTACCTAATTTCCTTAGGCTTCTTTGCAAATCCCAGCCTAAATGAAGATGTGGGTAACTTCAGATAGGGTCCTGTACAACATCAAACTATGGGATTCATTTGTCTTGTCAGCTCAGTGGAATTATGGGAACATCTGTGACAGAAGTAACCATAAGTTAATTCAAAAGTGTTAGATAACTGGATGGTCTATAAGCCCTTAAGAGTCTCAGTTTTGAGCATCTAGAATCATAACCGCTGAAACCCACCCTATTTCCCCACTGTGAATTCACATACACCATAAATTGCTTACTTTAATAAAAGCTTCATAAACATTTAGCATAGTGAGATGATCGCCTTCTTCCACAGCAAATTTTCTGTGTTGCCTTGTCTGGAAGGGATGAGGGGAAAAGAGGAGAAATACATTTTCATACACAGGTTTGCAATGGTTATTTCTAATAACTTTGGTTCTTATTATCTTCAGTATGTTAATGCTATACATATATTATAACTCCCCTCTAGTTGATAAATTCATAGTTTCATAGTTTCTAGGGTCGGAAGGGACCTGAGTAGATCATCTAGTCAGACCCGCTGCCATGGCAGGAAAGAGTACTGAGGTCAAATGACCCCAGCAAGGTGTACATCTAGCCTCCTCTTAAAGACCCCCAAGGGAGGAGCCAGCACCACTTCTCTTGGAAGTTGGTTCCAGATCCTAGCTGCCCTGACTGTGTAGTAGTGCCTCCTGATATCTAGCCTAAATCTACCCTCTGCCAGCTTGTGACCGTTATTCCTGGTCACTCCTGGCAGTGCTCAGGGGAACAGGGACTTCCCCAGTGCCTGCTGATCCCCCCTGACTAGTTTGTAACAAGCCACTAGATCCCCCCTCAGCCTTCTCTTGTGAAGGCTGAACAGGTTCAGGTCCCGTAGCCTGTCCTCATAGGGCCTGCCCTGCTGTCCCCTGATCATGTGAGTGGCCCTCCTCTGGACCCTCTCCATGTTATCCACATCCCTCTTGAAGTGCGGCGCCCAGAACTGGATGCAGTACTCCAGCTGCGGCCTGACCAATGCCACAGAGGGATTAAAATATTTTACTATTCAACATATACTTAAGGAAAATCTATAAAAAACTGATATTAACACTCATTTGAATAAAAGAAATGAGGTATTTTCACCAGTAGGCTCAACTGCATTTCTGCCTATAAATTAACATTTTCTTATTAAATACTTTTGTACTCTGAAAGTAAAATTTACCTTTTTCCTCTACTTTAATCTTGGAGAGAAGATCAAAATAAACAAGGTCTTCCTATCTATTCACTGTGAAACTGGCTGATACTAGCTTCTGAGGACTCGCACTCAGCTTCCCCTTTTTTGCATTATTAACTATATAGGCAAGAACAAAACCATTTTTTTCAGGTATATCAAACTTTGTAACTCCCTAGTGAATTATTAATATGAGTTGGCAGAAATTCCGAGATATGGAACAAGCAAGAAAAAAGTCATGCAATTGAACTTACAGCTTGTGCTTTTTGGTTTGGAGGGAGCACAAACACATTCTGAATCTGCATCATGGCAGCAATACTCAAGATTTCCTGGGAGCAGCCAAAATTTCCTGAAGCATAAGTTATAGGGAAAAATATAAGAACAAAATATAAGAAAGAGTTGTTACATCCAATCTCACACACAAATGATACAATGGAAAAGACAAAGGATTTATTTTTAGACATTTTATGAAAAAAAACAATACTTTCAAGAGAAATGAAAAATATAGTTATTTCACTGCAAAGCACTGTTGGTAAAATGCCTCCCTCTCTCAACATCTGATTATTAGAAGAGAATCACTCAGTTCTCTGCCGAAGAAACCACATACACCCAGCTCGATATATCTATCTACCTCCATATTACACAAACGGACAAAACGTCAACGGCTAAAATATGCTTATTAGATTTTTGTTTGCATTTATACTAGAGTACAGAATACATATCATTTCAACATACTCTATGAAAAAGGCTGCCTTTTATGCATTTAGTACTAAAGGGGTGCGTCTACACAAGATGCTTAATGCACAGTAAACTAACTCTACTGCCCACAAGTGCATCATAGCAAAAGCCATGCTAATGTGCAGTACATTAATCTATTGTGCATTAAGCATCACAAAAAGACTGTGCACATTTGCTACTACGCATTAGCACTGGCTACTGTGCATTTATGTAGTACCTCATGTTAGAGGTACTAAACTTAATGTGCAGTAGCAAAGATGCATTAATAAACGTGTAGGTACATCCAGTGTAAGTTTTTTTAAAAAGTCACTAAGTAAAGGTTTGGTTCTCTTTTCTTCTTTTAAAAGAAAACTCGACAAGTTATGGTACCTCTGCCAGTTATTACACAGTATGTCCTCCTACAGTAGATGGTATGCGTGGGTTGTACAAAAGTTTCTTATGCTTAGCTCTGTCAATACACCTGCTTAAGTAGTACATACCAAATTATTTACCAGTCGTGAAAGACTTAAGCTAATGGAACCACCCCACAATGAATGAAGTTAAGAATGCATATAACTTTTCAGGATTGGCTGTTCTACTATACTGCCAAATCCTACAGTTTAGTATCTGGATATTAAATACTATTATTATTTCCCAAGAGGTTTCCCAAAAATTCTACAAAAACAGTGCACTTATACAGAACCTATCCTAATAATTCTCTTCCACTGGCATAGACAACACTTTACAATCAAACACTTACCTTATCAAACAGACTGGTGTAATACTAAAGGGTCAACAGAATAAACAGGCCAAGTTCTGATAAAAGAGTTTGAAAATTGTAGTCTAACAGGAAGGAACGCCATAGAATTCATTGACTTCCCCCCGCCCCCAATCTCTTCAATATACATCAAGCCAAACTGGGCAGCAGTGTGTTTCAGAGACTATGCATGTAATCTAATAGAGGACTAAGTGATACTGCCTCTGGGTAGAACGTGTCTCATAATCAACCCACAACCAGCAACAGAAATGTACCCACCTGATTCCAGCAGCATCTTTGCAAACATAGGGTTCAAAGGAAACTCTGCTATTCTCATACCAAGAGGTTCTGTTAGACGACAGTGTTTATCCAAACCTGCAGGATTGTTAATGATATAGAAAATAGGCAGAAGTAGCAGAGTATATTATCAGAATTGCTAAATATTTATTATGGAAAAAACGTTTTGTGCAAACAAAACGCACAAAAAACACGTTCAACTAATAATTATCAAACTGGGAACTTGGAAACTTAGAAACTCTTCCTTGCTCCCATTTAGTATCTGCTGAGCCGGTATTTTTTTTTAAGCAAACATAGATCTTTAAATGAATCCTGTCCTGTTCACGGACACAACAGCTCCTTGATCCCTAACCAGATTCGACTGGCACCTACAGCAATTCAGAAACTATTCAGCCAGTGGTTACAGGGATCAAACTCTTCCGCACATTTTGCCAGACAACCTTTTGAAAGCCTTTAACCCTGCAAACTGAAACCTTGTAAAATTTCTACCTATTCTTGAAGGAATTTGCTCAACGTTTTTTTTTTAGGGAAAAAAAGAGCACTGTTGAGAAAAGAAGCATGGGCAAGATGAGCAGATGGAGAAGGTCTGAGGTAACAGAGCACCATTTTTCTGAGTCATATCTCATTGACTCACTGACAAAAAATTAAATGTAATACTATCATTGCTACAGTATCTACACCAGGTAGGCAACCTGCAATCTCACATACCAGTCATTAATTGGCAGCTACATTCCAACTCCAAAATTGTTACTGTGTGTGATCACGTACAGGATAGAAAGATAATAATTTGATTTTCAATTCCCAAGTTATTACTAAGCACTCAGTGTGTTAGGCATCTTCTGCAGAAGAATGGCTGCTTACATACAAAAAAGACTCGGTGCATATCCGACAAGAAAAACTAAATTCGGAGTCCTATACATTCTCTTTGTAAACATTTCCTGGAAGAAATGTCTTTGGAAAAAAGATTTGAGTGGAAAGGGTTCTAAGGGTAAAGGACACCATAGAAAAACAACACATCATTTGAGAAAGCTACATAAAGACAGCTGGGAAAGGAGAAGAAGAAAGACTGCAAAAAGAGGAATATGAAGTGAAGATGAAGATTAAAAGCCTGAGGTAGAATAAAGCAGGACAGTCCCTCTAAGGGTGATGAGGATAGCAGAAAAAAGTGGAGTATGTGATTTTTGCCCAGTCTACACTGGGGAAATAACTGTGGTTAATGTAAAGAATAAAAATGGCTGTGGCCTACCAGTTGCATAACATACTTTATAACAACACAGACCAGACAGAGCTATAACATGGCTGTGACAGTCAACTTTCACAAACGTGACAAATACGGTTCCTTAAGCAATATGGGCAATGGGCAACATTTCCAAGAGGACCTTGGGAACTTCTGTGCCTAGTTCCATTAAGTATTTTTGAAAATTGCTCTGAGCATTAGCAGAAGCATTTAGAACACACGTGGGAAATGGGAGACAGAAAGAAGCAATCAGACTCTAGACAGACAAGGTTTTATAATTTGAGAGAGAAAAACAAATAGATTTTGGAGATGCTGAAGATCACAAAGCAAGAGGTTTTGGTAAAAGCATGAATAGGTATACTGCACGAG